ATTCTGTGACTGGAGCGGTGGGAATAAGTGCGTTTGAGATGGCTAGGTTGGCACAGGATAGAACAGCATTTAGAGCTCTTGTACATAGGGTTGCTATGAGTCGCAAGCGACTCGATGGCACATAACAACAACAACAACAATTAATGAATTACAATATCTGATCGACTCCTTGCTGTATATTGCCTTTCTCTGTACCCACCTTATCTATTTATTAATTTTTACTTCTCCCTCCCTTCTAAAAAATGCATAGGCATTTTTATAAGAAATCCTGAATTCCTATTTGTTCCTCCCTTGGGGCCAGTGCCCATGCCAGGCTGGAAGTCAACATATTCCCATTGTGCCCCCATCTGGGTCACAAGTGCCCTGGAAACACTCAAGCCACTCCAGAGGCAGACCCCTGGCCGAAGTGGCACCCAGGACAGGCTCTCACGGGCTCAGCACTGCTTGTACCTTACGGCATGCTCTCTCCATGCAGGAAGAACATTCCCGTGGCCTGCGTGCAGCATGTGGACAGAGAGCAGACCAAGAAGGTGGTGTACTCAGTGGTCTACGGAGCAGGTAGGGCTTCGGACAGGAAGGGGGCCCCTAGCGCAGTGTCTGTTGGCCAGGTGAGAGTGAGTGTGACTGCGTGCTTGTGAACAGCTATCTTCCGTTCAGGGCGGAGCACACCTTGTAAGTGCATGACATTTACACAGGAACTTCATAGGTTATAGGATACAACTTGTAAGATTTTTAAAAAACCCGAACAACTGATATTTCTATGTATGTTTACAAAGCCAGTGGTTTTCTGTGCAACGATACATACACACTTTATGACATAAACTGCAACACTCACATCCCTGTGCCTTTCCCACTTCCCCCTGTGATCTTCACTTCCATTAGCCCTTCTCTCCTACCTCTTCCTGACTTCTGAGTTTTATCCCTGAGCAAATGCTTCTTATAAAGACAAAGTTTTAAAAAGACAAACACACTCATTGTCATCGTGTTGGATCCAACTCATAGCTGCCCTGTTGGTGGGTTTCCAAGGCTGTGATCGCACGAGAGGAGTTGCCCATCTTTCTCCACAGATCTTGCCTTTGGGACCCTGTGAGCTCCTTCCCCGCTCGGCCTTTGAGCTTGTGTGGTTGGTACCCTACGGAGAGAGCACCTCCCTGGTGCTGGTGTTCACATTCAAGACACAGCCTGTGAGGGCTTTTCATTGTTGTGTGGTTTTAAAAAGTTTTTATTGTGATTTTAGCAGAAGTTTACAGAAAAGTTGGAGTTTCATTGGTTCTTTCTTGCACATTTTCCTCCCTCCCTCTCCTGTCCCCTCCCTCAGTGCACTTTATAATGCACCTCCTGTTCTGCATTGTTAATTGTCGTATATATAAAACATGATCACGTGTTCCCCTCAGACAGCCCTGCCCTTCATCTGTTCCAGTGCAGTGTTCACTCTGTCCTCTCTTTTCCTGTTCTCCCCCCGCCCCCTGTCAGTCCTGTAACAGCAGTGTTATGCAGAGTTTGTCCTTTTGTAACTGTTTTTTTGTTTTGTTTTGTTTTTGGTTTTTTTTGTGTGTGTACCGTCAAATCTAATCTCACTGGTACAGGAGGAGATTGCCCCTCCTTCTTCAGCAGAGCATCCGGTGGATTTGAACCATGCACCTCCGGGTGTCCTTTTGTAACTGAGATATCTCACTCACCATGTCTTCCTGGCTCACCCTTATTGGGTAGTGTTTTACAAATTCGTTGTCTTTCAGTGCTGTGTGATATTCCACGTGTGAATGTACCAGGGTTGGTCTTGTTCCAAGGTGACTAAAGGTCATAGTCTTAGGGCCCCCTCAGCCTATATTGGACAAATAGTAAGCCTGGCAATTTCATGTTTGTGAGTTTTGCTCCACATTTTTCAGCTGCTCTGTCCAGATAGTCCCTTGGAACAGTTAGCAGTGGGTGCTGGGCACTATCTAGTTCTTCTGGTCCCTGGGTGGCAAGGATGAAGTTTGAGTGGCTACCAGGCCATTGCACTGTGTATGCTGCTCTTCTCTGCCCCAGACACAGAGAGGCCAGAAGTTGTACCTTAGATGGCTGCTTGCAAGCGTTTACAGCCTAGTCACTAAGACCTTGTGAGTTTCTACAACATTTACAGTCACTGGAGGACGTTGTAGAGCATCACACACTACTCAAGCCACTTTATGTGTATTAACTTGCTCAGACCTCTTCAGGTCGGAACAGTGGGGCCAAGGGATGTCCAGTGTCTTAACCAGATTGCACACCGCCTCCCCTCCTCCTCTGGCCATCCTACCTCCTCCCCTTCATCTCCCTCCTCCTTCTGTCCCTTCCTTCTCTTCTCCCTCCCCATCCTCATCCCCTCCTCCTCTTCTCCCTTCAGCTCTCTAACCACAGCATGTCCAGGCTTTTTCACATCTTATCTCCCTTGGTGCCATGCATATCCTCACAGCGTCATGTTGATACTGTACCACAGAACACAGCCCTGCCCAGGCCTGTGCTGGCCCCACCTCATAGGGACCCCC